CCCCACCAGACTCATCACCTGTGCTCAGCCCACCCTTTTTGCCCATCTCATGGTATCCTTCGCTACCCGACTGCTCCTTTCTCGCCTGCCCTCCTCTTCTTCTTCCTTCAATTTCAAAGGGAAAAACATATTTTTGAAAATCTTATTTTTCAATCTAGACCATATAAGTATCAAATTATTAAAGTACCTTTAAATTTAAATAAAAAATTTATTAAAAGTACTCTGATAAAATTATAACTCGGACTACACTTTAAATTTAAAAATTCAAGTGTAATTTGATATAAAAAATGAAATTTTACAAATATATATTATTACACTTGCATGCAAACTAAATTTTAACTCCCTAGTTGAAAATTGATGATCTAAATTCAACACTACTGATAATATTTTTATCAACTTATCATGATCATGTTAGAACTGGATCCTACCTCTCTTCTTAATTTTCTACTACTAATTAATTTTCCTATTACCTTCAGCAAGGTGTTCTTGGGCTTCCAGGCTCTTGCCGCCGGTGCCGCCAGGGACGACAGTCTCTCCTTGCCTGGCCCTTTTTCATCGAGCTGCCTCCGCTCTTGCTCCGACGACATTTTCCTTTAATTTCTTTTAAGTTTCTAGACAAACAAATTAAATGCTTCATTCTTTTTCCAGATGAGATAGCTTCAAGCACTGAAAGTCTGCAATAGGTGATTCGGTGCGGACCGTGGTGGACTGGTGGAAGCAATTTATATTCGGACTGTCGATTTGGTGCTTGAACCTGTCGGATGACACGTGGTGGTTTACGTGGTCGAAACGGGGACTGCATGGAGCAAAGAGAATGACACGAGGCAAATTATGAGGTTGGTATTACAGAAATAATTTTTTAATATTATTTTTTATATAATTTTTATATGTTAATAATTAAATAAATGTGTTTAATTTTACGAGTTTTATATAAATTAAAAAATTAATTATTTTAATAATATATTAAATTGTAATAAAAAATAAAAAGATCATAAAAAAATTATTTCCCAACTATGGAGTTGATACTGTACTTTTGAATAACACCTGAACTGTGTGGGTTGATCAGAGCCAGCAGAGCCTTTCCCTCTTGCTCATACAGGTGGAGTAAAATGTAGACTTCTATTTTTAATACTAAGAGATTTAGTGGCTATATCTCTTTGAAAAAAAATTAAAATATAAAATTTTAAGTTTTATATGCAAGTTAGTGCTATTAATTCCTTCCCTTAAAAGTCCCTCATTCGAAAAAAAAAAAATTGGTAAAATTCTAC